TTCAATAACAGAGTGATGATTTATCATTTCAGCGTTTACTTATTTAAATGACTCAAAGGTATTCTAAACTTTCATGGCATAACTAAGTAGTGTACTTTACAGTGATGCCATTCCGAAACAACTTCATGGGAGGCTTTGGTGGCTTCGGCGGTGGCTTCGGGCCATATAATGGCGGTGGATACGGCGGCGGTTATGGCATGGGTGGCTACGGCGGTGACTACGGCGGTTACGGCGGTATGGGAGGCATGGGCCCGTACGGAAATGGCGGACCATATGGAGGTTAAAAAGCACTTTTGTTTAATGCTTTACGTTTTCAGTATTGCCTATGCCAAGTTACTTTAGCAGACGAAGGCCTGGAAAGGTTAAAACGTATGTTGTTTCACGGATTTTTTCTTAGGAATGAGCGGATACGGCGACGGTGGATACGGATACGGCGGCGGTATGGGTGATTATGGGATGGGTGGATACGGCGGTCCCATGGGCGATTTTGGTGGCTACGGTGGCATGGGAGGTTTGTTTTAATGCATTTTCTTTTTTGATAACCCTGGATTTTCTTCCTTAAGCCCTACTCATTGAAATTCATTTCAGGCTATGGAATGGGGGGTCCAGGAGGTTACGGCATGGGTGATTTCGGTGGTTATGGTGGTGGTATTGGCGGCTATGGAGGAATGGGTGGAGGATACGGAGGAATGGGAATGGGAGGCTACGGAGGTGGCTACGGAGGTATGGGCGGCGGCTACGGTATGGGTGGGATGTATGGTGATTCAGATTATGGAATGAGCAGCTATTCAGGCGGTGGTGGCGGATGTCCAAACGGCAACTGCAGAGGCAAAAAATAACCTGATATCCCTGGAACCTCAACTGGTAATACAATCGTAATATTGTGATTGCAATTATAATTGTACGTCACCAAAAAAGTGCACGGACTTCAGCGACGTTCGGCAGTTTTGAACTGTTTGTTTGTTAACTTTTTTAACTTAAGAATAATTAATATTGGGAGATTGTATTTTCCCTGAATGTTGAAGGCAGTTCAAACTTGAAAGCTTTTTTGTTCAACGGTTGGTGCACTGAAGCTGTCGCACATCCTGTCTGTATATTGTGAATCCCCTAATATAGTAATTTATTTGAAAATCCAATAAAATTTCTATTAATTTTCCGATTCACAACAAAATACCAGTTGCATAGCAGTGAAAGGAAATCTCTATTTTTGAGAAGTAGTTGGTTTATACCTTCCAACAATTACCAAAGTTCCGTCTTTAAAGTTAAGCTTTCAACAATACCAAATAGCTTACACTTACGCATAACTTCACCATCCCACCGTAATTTCGCTTGACTTCAGGCATTTCGCAGTCTACTTTGCTAGATAAAATTTCACTTAAAATCCTTAACATGTATTGCACTATTCACTTCGTACTTAACTGACATGTTTTCTATATACGACTAAACACTATATAAAAAACTTCTTACTACGAATTTTCAAGCATACTTTACCTTAATAATCACTCATTTTAGATATCCTCTTTTCTTTGCCAGCATTCAGCATTTGATCAAATGAGACTACAAAAATCTTAATGCAGCAATACTCGAGAGAACAGTAGCCAAACAGCAGCAGGAAAAACGGACCAGAATTAAGGCTTCATAAATATTAGCAACAGTTTATTTAGAATTATCATGGTGACCTGCCCTAAAAATTCCATTCCTCAAGGAATTTCCAGCATCAGCTAACGATATTTTTTTTTCCTGATGACAAACTTCATGTTTCGCCATTCAGCTCATGCCAAACGAACTGGTGTATTGTAGGACTCTAAACTACCTTCAAATCATCTTATCATGAGCGAATTTTAAAGATTTCACCTGAAAAGATATATTTGCATCAAATTTCGAGGAAGTGTATGCTAAAGGATGAACGACCCCACAAAAATGGTCACTTACAATTACAGTTCCTGGATCATGCTTAGGAGTATCTGCTCGGAGCCGTTACTGGTGCCTTCACTTGACTCAAAAAAAAAAAAAATCATGGACAACTTTGCCCACTTAAGCAAACTAGAAGACAATGCTCTCCAGAGCTATATATCAACGTAGTTACTGGCAATTTGTTCAGTACCAGTAGACCAATTACTGTTAATCCGTGCTATCTATTGCTCATCCGAAGATAACAACATTGTTTTAATCACTTCCTCTCCTTATAAAAACCAAAAGTTAAAGATTTGTTTCTCTTTATATTAAACCTTTACATCCAACTGACGCAATAACCAAGCAATTAAATTTACGTCATCAGAAAAAACACCATCTTGTCATTACGAGAGAATCTGGATTTCCAGCACTTGGCTTTCTTACTCCACTTACGTCCGTCAATAACCAACTATGAAAAACATGACGGTCGTTACCTTTCAAAACCTACTAAATATTACAGCAAGAATATAAAACTAGCGTTAACTAGCGTAACACGAGTAAATCTGTGACACATGAAAACCATCCAAAAAACTTCACGAAACTTTTGACTTGCGCAAATGCACTTTAAGCCGTCAAGATCGATGCAGTCTACAGAACTTCTAATCCCGTAATTTCAAAAACTTTTAAAATTGGAGTTAAATTAAAAAGCAGCAATTTCAATGCCACTTAAAACAGAACGAATTTTGCAACAATGAATGTTTGCATTCACAAACAACAAATCGTAAAGTTTAAGCAAAAGTTTTTATATTTTGCACATGTAAAGTACATTTCTGTTGCGTTATTATAGAAAAGAATTGTAATATGCACATATTCTGTCTCAGGTACACCTTTTTTAGTTATGAGTACGCATACAGTATACTGGACAGCAACGGAAGCTAAAATTTTTTTTCTTTTGATCATTTATCAAAAAATATCTATCCTTCAAAAAATCTGAAAAAAAATGAATTCAAAGAAACTTAAAGTATATAATCTGGGATGGAACAAACAAACAAACAAATATCTTGTGCATCCACCAACTATGAAACCATACAAAGCACTTTCCTTTGTTTCTGATGTATGATTTGCTAAGCAACCAGGAAACATAATCGTCCATCATCACAACAATTGGGCACTTGCAACCGTCAAAATGGTAGCTGAATTAAACTGAAAAAAAAAAAAAAAATGATGCCATTGCATAAAAATAACATCAAAAAAATGTATGATGTCGATACATCCATCAGCAGCACCAGTAGTATCTCAGGCAGCGGAAAGCGAGCGGTTGCTGCTTCAGTGTCCAAAACTTGCAACGATTTAGCATCGGCGGGATGCGTCCAAATAAAATGGTAGCGAAAAATAAAAATTTTTGCCGACGCTGTATGACACTTAAAGTTGCTTGAAGCATTCAGTTGAACCGGTGATGAACTTTACACTACTTTGCTCTACCTTTTTTTTCCTTTCTTTTTTTTTGTTGTTGACGTCAACCGTTGCCAATGCCGATAAATTTCACTGTTCCAATATTTTAGCGTTTTTTTGCCGCTTTTCTATAACACTGTTGCGTTTTCGTTACTTTTTTATATGTATTTTCTCTCTGCGGTAAATATACTTTTTCTTTTTTTTTTTTTTTTTT